CACTCTGTCCCCGCTCTCAGGAAGTCGACGGCGCCTCCCGCTCCTCCGCCGGCGCCAGTGCCGACCTCTCCGACTCCCTCGGACGAGCTGGTGGGCGACATGATCATCGACCCGAACGCCGAGGAGCCGTGGCTATACGACGCCAACGAGCCGCGCTACTGCGTCTGCCAGAACGTCTCCTATGGAGACATGGTGGCCTGCGACAACCGAGAGGTGAGGGGAACTTGGTGGGATATGATAGGATGTGTACCACACATCCTATCACACATTGTGTGGGCTGTGAAATTGGAAGTCAGATGTGGTTGGGGTTATGATAGAGGGGAAAGATATTGGGATATGGTGATGTATGGTGGCCAGTAATAACAGAAAAGTGGAGAGTTCTTACTTCTTACCATTATGGGATAGGTACGTTTAAATACACCTTTTTGCGTTGTTCGACTTCGATGACCAATCAGCAAAACCCATTCGTCCGATCAGCACATAGGTGGCGCCAGTGAGAGGCATTCCGGCAAAACCTTCAGCATATGGGCAAAACGGAATGCTGATCCCACTCCACAGTTCGTCAGTTGGTATTACCTTCGCTATTCGCCATAACTGATTGAGTTCCGGCAAAACCTTTGACGATTTGGATAAATGCTTCGTCGTTCGTTAATATCCCTTCGTCGTTCACCAAAACATCCCCATGCTAATTTCGGCATTCCTCATAACATTTCGTCAAAACTAAAAACAGATCGCCCCTTTACAGAGAAGTATACCGGGTGGCCCAGAAAAAACGTTCCGAACTTTGGAGGCCTATATATCAAATTCGAGTGCAAATAACGAGACAAAATTTTCAGCAAGTTTGCGTCATTTCTTTGCGCATTGGTATGCTAAATTATAACACTATACCATCATTTTCAAGCTGGCAATCTTGAGTTGAATTAAGCAAGACGTTTTTGCTTTTTTGCCGATGTCAAACGATAGTGATGATTGGGTTAGACGCCCCATGTTTAAAAAAGAATAGAAAAATAGAGCATGTGAATGAAACCAACACGTATGTACTTATTTTAAATATTTGTGTCTCACTTATGTGCCAAATATTCAAATACTGAGCCAAAATGGTGCTCATGGATGCCATTCGTTTTAACACCAAATCATGATTCGTGGCACGGTGCATGGATTACTGCTGATTACCCTCCTTTCAGTAGATCAAACAGTAAATCGACCGGATAAGGAAAACAAACTAAAACAGACTAGTTCCTGTGCCAGAAGACCACATAACATTTTATGAAAAACAACATTGCCAGCAGATGACAAAAAAGAAAACTGGTTGAAAAGTTACCTTTTCCCAGGAATGTCAGCCAGGAAAGCATTTGAGCCACAAGATGGTTAGAAAACTGGAAACTTCTTCCGATGCCACTGGCACAGAGCCATCGTGGTTGCCTGATGGAATGTGTCATCCTGAGACCCGAACCATCAATGAGACTAGCTGCCAGTAGCAGCCATGGCTCTAGGCCGGCGTGGTGCCGAGGGGTGAAAGTGACCTGTTCACTCACATTTTTGAGTAAACATCGGAGCAAAAAAGTAATTTTTACATGGCATGCTTGAAACACGAACCGTTTAAAAAGTAATTTACCGAACACCATGAAAATCAGGCAAACAGGCAAACAGGCAACAGAGCAACAGGCTGGATAAGCTAACCCCGCCTCAAACACCAAGGAACATGCAACAGGCCGGATAAGTCAGCCCCGCCCCAAAACCAAGGTGTCCGGCCGGCAGGGCCCGGCTTGCCATCTGTCAGCCATTCCCTCGCGAGTCCGACCGGCGCGGCCGCCCGAGGCGTTGTCCCATGACATCGCACGGGCAGTGACGCGATAATGACGGCCGACTTCGTGGTTTGTATCGAAGCGTTTAGGAGTCCGACGCTCAAGAATCTAATCTACATGCCTACTCGGTATGGCGCCGGCAGTCTCCTCGTAGCTATGGTATAACTGCTTTTTTCGGAATTCAATGGTTAATTGGTTGCAAATTGCGCTGGAACTGTCATAAGCCTCATCCCTGAATGCGTGATTAACGTTAAACATTGAATATGGCTAGATAAGCAGTACATCATTGACATTTTGATCATTGACGAAAGTTTTAAATAAACAGTCATTGTTTACGCAGAGTACCGATGAATTTTGCACATCGACTAACCATTTTGTGAAATGTCGAAGCATTATGACAATCTGACAAAGTGTTTTGCCTATGACGAACATTGTGCTCAATGACAGAGTTATGCAGAATGGTTAAATGGAGTCCAGCCTGTTTTGCCGACCGTCAAACAGTGATGCACATCGCCGATGGGTTATTCTGAATGACGCTTGTCCAAACTGATGCCGAAATGGTTATGACGATTGGCCATCGAACAACGCAAAAAGGTGTATTGTGACATGTGAAAACAGATGGGTGGTATGTGGTTGGAATATGGCTAGATATGGTAGGCTGAGCAATTAGAACAAAACTCTTGACGTGCTCTGAGGTAGCTGTGGTAATATGGAAACCAAACCAGATATTTCATGCACCCCTAAAGGCTGAAACAGACTATTTCCACATTCAGAAAATCGCATGCGAGAACCTATTCAAATACATTATAATTCTTCTCGCATCAATCGCTTGCGGGAGGTGCGTGCGATTGATGCGAGCGTGCTTCCATGTATTTGAATAGGCTCTCGCATGCGATTTCCTGACTGCGGAAAGAGTCTATTTCAGGTTTAACCCTATGACATTTTAGGCGAATAATAAGCCTAGCTGTGTTCGCCTTCTTGATCCTACCTCACTAACTGACAAATTCTCTCCGGCAGTGTCCGTTCGAGTGGTTCCACTACGCGTGCGTGGGGATCACGGCGCCGCCCAAGGGCAAGTGGTACTGCCCGCAGTGCACCGCCTCCATGAAGAGGAGGAAACACAAGTAGGTGGCGGCGGGGCCGACTGCAGAGGAATACCGGCGGCCGGCGGGGCGGTGGGGGAGAGGCCGGAGGGTACTGTGGTGTCGCTGTCACTCACTGGGAGGGTGAGGTAGACTGGGGGATGAACTGGGATCTGTTAGAGGAGAGAGAGGGTGGGAGAGGGAGAGAGCGAGGAGTGGGAACGGACGACTGGCGGCGAGGGTCTGTCGGGGAGAGGGTCCTGGCGTGCTCCCGAGGGGCTCACTCCCCCCCGCTGTGTGGGAGAGCGAGGGTCTCCTATCTGTCTAGGACAGACCTTCGTTCGGCCTGTGTGCTCGCTCAGCTCATGTCGCTCCGTGTCTTCCCAATGGTGATCGGACTGTACGCGCGGCGGTGAAATCGCGACTGAGTGGCTCCCGTGGAGCCAAACGCTACCCGTGGAGACGGCTAGGGATTCTGACCGCTCCATTGTCAGATGACCTGGTCAACCTCTGTGTTGTGTGGAGGGTTTAAAAAATGGTGATAGCCGTGTTAGTGCTTCAACCTCTCGGCATTATATACCCCTAAACGCGTCAGTGGGCTAAGCCGCTTCTCAATTTCCAACAACCCACTTTATGCTCATCCAGGCATCCACGTACTATAAAAGCGACAAAACACTGTAGTGCCGTAAATATTGCTTGTGCCGGAAGCAGAGAGAGGTCTAGGCTCGCTATGTCCGGGGCTTGTGACCTGGGGCTCGCGTAGTGTCAGTGGGTTAGGCCGAAACTCGTTGTTTGCTCCCCTGATCGTCGGGTTGTGGCTTCCTCTTCTTTGGGCTGTGGCTTCTGTAGAATGTAGAGGGGGGGGGGGGGGGGGAGGCAAACAAATGTCAAACCATACAAATGTCAAAGCATGAAGAAGGTGACATGTAATGTGCGCCACTTCACGATAAAACCCAGAAAAAGCTAGGCTTTGTAATGTGCATAAGATGGAAGCGCATTCAAGCGTTTTCATAAAAATGACACCAAAAAAGTAGATTCACGTAGACTGCTTAGCGAATAGGGAATCGCCCACGTTTCAGTGTGGCTTGGAAAAAGACTGTGGTGTCAGGCTTTGTTGCGGTGATCCACACGAACAGTCCCCTGGTCCTAACTGTCGACCGCCGCAGCTGCAGCGGCTGTCGTCCAATCAGACTCCGCCGTCGTGTGATGTCATCAGCCTCAGGACTCAGCTGTTGCATTCATCGTAGTCACCATGCGTAGGCGCCTTAGGTGCCCAGCTAGTATTAGTCATTTCTGTGTAGCACGCCGCGTCATCTCATCATTTTGTATCCAGATTTTGTTGCGTTGCGCTGCTTCGGTGCGATTTTTCGCTGTTTTGCTGTGTGACCTGCCTCTGTCGAGGACTAATTGTACAATGTGATTGGACCGAATACATTCTGAAAGATGTTACACAAGTTAATGATGATTCTGGGCACATTCCCAACGGCGAAAGGGGCCGTTTGTGTTGTTTTAATCTTCCCTGTGACGGTTTGGTTGGTACTTGAACGCCGCACCTAGTTTGTAGGTCGCTGAACTTACGTTATCAATGCGATTCCAGTGGTGTTCGGGGCGTCTTGGGTACCGGCTAATGTGATGTACTGTTTATTTTTACTAATTGGGTACACGGCTGAGAGTTTCTAGCCAGGCGTGAACCATGCTGACACGGCCGTACACGACTCGCCCGCTCATCGACTTCAAACCGCCTGTATTGTGACTCAGGTGACCGCCACTTCTGACGGCGGGCCGTCTCCGTCAGTCGTAACAGTGGCCGACGCAGCGGCACCAGCTGGGCTTCCACTATTCTCCTAGCCTAAGACGCGGCGATTGCCGACCGGCCAGCGTGGCTCGCGTTTGATTTCGATCAATTGGCCTTTCGCCCAGGGCTGCCACCTGCGAGGGGTGTATTCCACCGTTAAAGTGTATTTAAAGACGACCCAATGCTTTGAGCCAGGCTTCCCAGCACACCAATCTGATGCTGTCCCTTTACCAGAGCGTTCCCCTCAAATGAAGCTAACAAATTCTGCTGTCCAGTGTTGTTCCTGAGGTCGTGGCGCATAGAAACAGTCGATGAAAATAGTAAGACATTTACTTATTTATTATGACGTAACAACATGCTGTAACAAAATTTCACCTCTGAATCGGACACCGGCTGCCTACCAATCACGTTGTCAGTGCCGGAGTAACGCGCGTATGGAATTCACGCCAAATACTGCGCATTATGGAGGAGAAACTCAGCAAACGGAACACATCCAACTTGCGTCACAATTTTCACATGGCCGTCATATGCGCCACGTACGTCTCATCTGCGACACATGCGTCATTGTAATTCGTCGTCGAGAAAGCAACAAGCAATATACAGCTCTCAACAGGCTGTCGGCCCCGCGCGGTGACACGACTGCAGCGCCGCGCCGCGGCCGCGTGGCGAACTATCACTCGCCACCTAGCGGCCGGTCGCCGAACTAGCACTTGTCCCCGTTCGGGGTAAGAAGTAGGTAAGCTCTTCTCACACGCACTGTCGACCCCTGACTAGATCCGGTCTTGCCACTCCGTCCCTCGTTCTCTCTCACTCTCGCTCTCTCTTTCACTCTGTCCCTCGCAGTGGAGAGCATCTCCCATTCAATTGTTCGTGGCCGTCTCTTCCAAGGCGCTCCCGGGCCGCGCAGACCCAACTGCAATGTACACTAATGCCATCTGGGAACAAGAGCGGGAAACACGTTAGTCAAGAGCTAAAAAAAATAAATGTCAAACGAGTGTCATACGCCAACAAGTTATAGCTCTGGATGCAGCGCCCGTTGCTTTGATTTGAAATAGGAATAAAGAATGCTGACAGTTCACATTACCGTTATTCCTGGCTAAAAAAACGACAACAAAAGACCGCCGCAGCTGACAGATGCACAACAGAAACAAAGTCGTTATAGCTTAAATGCTCGTTACAAAGCAGACAATTCTGAAGCCCTGAGCGTGCGGCCGCGCCCCTCCTCAGTTAAGAAATGAGCCCGCGTGTGGGTGCCTTTCTCACCTGCTAAGGGCGCAGAGCGGTGACGGGGAGGTGTCGGTTACCTCAGCGTAGGACAGCAGAGGGTGCCGTTCCTCTGGGCCGCGCCGGCGTAACCTTCGGACGACCTGAGACACGAGACACGGGGAGGTCAGGGGGTACTCAGGGAGTGTGGTTAGGGGGGCGACAGGGGACCGAGATAGCTGTGTGCTGTGTAAACAGCAACGCTCACCAACAAATGCGCTTTGCCTCCTGTTTCCGTTATGAGAACAATGATGCTAATCATAAGTGCTCCAGGACCTAGAATCTTTGAAGTTTGTGAAGTTTGTGAAGTTTGATGATTCCTGTTTCCACAAATGAATATCCAAAACACATTAAAAAATCAACTTGAAGAAGAAGCCATGCCCGTTTTCTCTGAAGACTGAGGCAGATCGAAATGTTTTGCTTTGCCCTGCCCCTACCCTTTCATCACCTCTCTCTCTCTCTCTTCTGGTCTTCTCTCCCTCCCTCCCTCCGCCGCCTCCCTCCTCTCCCCTCCCTGCCCCGTCCCCCACCGTCACTCACTGTGCGGGGTTGTAGCTGAGTGACGAGTAGGGCGCCCACACCTCGGGCGCCGCCGGCTCCCCGTAGCCGGACGGGTACGCCGGTGGTTTCGTGGCCGTCGGCTGGCCCGGTCCCGGCGAGCCGCCGCCCTTGGGCGCCCACTTGCACGCCGACGACATGTCCGTCATGGACTTGATGGGGTCGGCGGCGCCGGGCGCGGAGGGCGGCGGCGGCGGCGGCCGCTCCCCGTACGGCGGCGACTGCGGCCCGTAGGCCGCGCTGCTGTGCGTGTAGTGCGCCGGCGCGGAGGTGCCGCTTGGCGAGCAGATGACGTGCGTGGCGTTGGGCCGCGGCGCGTGCGCGCTGCCCCACATCAGCACCGTCTGCCGCGTGTCGTTAGCGGTAGAGTAGGCCGCGCCAGCCGCCGACGCCGCCTTCATGTCCGGGCTGACGTCGCCGTCGTGTTTCTTCCCGTCGGGTGTGTGGCGCGGGTCTCGCTCAGGCGTGCTGCCGAAGCCCTGCTGGAGGCTGGCGCTGGCCGCCGAGCCGAGCCCGCTGAGTGAGGTGCCACCTATCGGCGAACTGGCCAAACTGGCGTTCAGCAGCGCGCCGCCAGGGTAGCCGTCATAGTAGGCCGTTTTCGGCAGGTACGACCGGTCGGTGGCGTATTTGGTGGCGTCCAGCTGACACCCGTACTCGCCCGGCTTGGCCAGCTGCGAGGTCTCATACGTGGGAAGGCACGTGCGTCCGACATCCACAAAGCCGTTATAGCTACCGTGGTGCATATAGTCCGGGTAGTAGCCGCCCAGCTGCCGGTAATACAGGCTATCTGTGGCCAGGAAACGGTTCTCTATGGGAGGGTAGAGGTTCTGGAAGTTGGGCAGATTCTGCTGGTAGAGCGCCGCGGCCGCCGGGTCCGTGTACGAGGTCGCCGCCGCCGGGTAGACGCCGGCCGCCGCCGCGTAGCTGTTGTAGGCCGCAGGGTCGGCCGGGTACTCGGGGGTCAGCTTCCTCTTGGTGCGGCACGTGCTGAGGAAGTCGCGCAGCTGGGTCTTGTAGCGGCGGTTGCCGCGGCCGGCGGTGCCGCTGGCACCCACCTCGCCGTCGTAGAGGTACTGCGAGGTCAGGCCCGGGTCCAGGTAGCTGACCTTGAAGTCCATGGTGCGCTTTCCGAGGAGGTCGCGACCCTCCTCCTCCCTGGGGAAAGGAGAAAGGTCAGTCAGCTGGTGTGTCTCTATGGTGGTCATTCCTGCATAAGATAGTGATAAAGCATTGCATGGCGTGTACACTTCCCCATTCAGCTGCTTCCCCTGGATTATTTGACAGGCGCACGTGGCAAAGTTTCTTATAGCGTTCACCCATGCAGCAAGCGGATAAACACATTCTAACCTTCTCACATTCAGCTAAGTCAGTCGGCTGTGAGATACCCCTGACAGTGATGGGTTCAGCGGGTGAGCTTCTGTCGGCAAACCGCAGAACTATGCCTTTTTAGCTTGCCCCGTTCGTGACTTTGAAAACTAGGAAGGCGCCGCGGTAAGTCACGGACGAATTAAGGCTAAATCGCATCACTGCCCTCGCCACCGCGCCGGTCCGCGCGGCGCCAGTGGCGAGCCAGAAACTGACCACAATGGCACAGGCAGCGGCTCATCCGGGCGATGATATAAAAAGGGCAGCGCGAGCCCGCCCATTGTTCCATTGCACCTGCATCATCGGTGAAACGCGAGCGGAGGGAGGGGGAGAAGTTGCCATTTTGACCAGCAAACTCCTCCTTGGGGGACTCATCAGTGAGTCATTCATGCGGTGAGTCATGAGGTATCTGCCCGAGGGAGTCACTGCGGTGACTCAGCTGAGCGGTTCTGCGCCATTTGTCAGTCATATTGGCATAACTGGCGCAATGCACTGAGGCTGTGCCGCCCTGGGGTGAATGCATGAGCTCCACTGATCCTCCAACCCCTTACGGGAGGATCCAGCCCGCTTTTTGTTTCAACATGCAACCCACGGCGCGCTAAATACCGACTTATTACCCACCGTTCAACTGCGATTTCTATCACCGCTCCCTGGAATGGATGTCTTGATTTGAGCAAATACCTAACGGTAGTGACCTACGTCAGTTTGGCGAAATGGTATCATGATGCCCATTTAGCCACACTTACAGCCCCACGCAGGGTTGACTGATGTTTAGTGACTTACAGCAGAGGCCGGTGTGTTGAAATGATGAAGTCGGGTTTGGAGTTTTTGTAGACGAGCCGACTGGAAGTCTGCAGCCACTGCCAGTTGAGGTCCTTGGTTTGAAGACGGTACGCGATCAGCCCGGAGGCACCCGTCTTCAGCACTGAAACGGAAGGAATTCAGTGGTCAATTAATAGGAGTGAAACGGCGTGCAAAGAGCGGAGATGGAGATCAACTTAGATAGAAGGTGACGGTCAAAGATTGGTAGCCGGTTGGTCCGAGGGGTTAAACGATTTTACCGGGGCAGTCAAGCGGACTCATAGGCGATAGCCAACATTGGCTGAATCTGGTGAAAAAATCGATGGCGAATCGGGGAAATTCAACCGCCTTTTGGGAAAATCAGCAGTCAAACGATTGCAAGGGCTGAACTGCAGAAACATGTTATTCATTGTTTTATTCCCAAGCTGCTCGCTGCTCAGCCCATCCCAATAAGCTTTGGTGTTAATCATCCACTCATCCTCTTGCGGCAGATCTCGTCGATTTCTCTGTCAAACTATATTTACGACGTGTGCCAATTCCATGAACGATCCCCGGCCAGAAACCTGGGTCAAATCAACCGCACAACAGAGCAGCAAGGCCTCAATCCGCCGTCACCTGAAGGGTTCGACAGACCTTCGGAAAATCGGGCCTCGTCTGGGGATTAGTTTCACTTTCTGGGAAAAGAAACCCTGCATGGTGACGAAGGAATTCGAGGGACGGGCCGGCGGGGGTCGTTCACCCCGGTGGCTTCCAGCTGAGCTGACCACCGGCATGTGCGGGGTCTCTCACAGATTCGGCGCCGTCGTACGTACGGGGCTCATCCGAAAAAGGACAGGTGGGCCAACGCTTTTTCGGCGAATAGTTATTTTTGGGGTGCAATTACGATTCGACGATAGTGCCCTATAGGACAGTTTTTAATTCAAGGTGGGCTGAGTTTTTTTTCTTTTAAGTAATGACATCAGTATCTGGCAGTGGCGACCCATGCACCATCGAAAAACAGGTCAACACAATAAAGAGTACAATGAACTTGTGCAATATGCTGACCTTTGCCGTTTATAAATATCGTTTATGAACTATTTTCCCCTCATGAGGTCTCATTCCGGTTCTATTCGTCTCCTTACCGACCCACAACCACTCGCCGGCGGGCCTGGGGAACTAATCAATCACCACACACCCTCCTATCCATCTCCTTACTCAGGTGTTTCCCGACACTGACGAATCCGTCAACTCTGCAGCTGCCATTGCACTGACTCTGGGGCCAGCTGCATCCGTCTGGCAACACTATCTGGTAATGCAGCCCGGCAGAATTTGACGTCCGATATATTTGTTAGCCTGGTAACAAGCAGAAGTGCCTGAATACTTATTTAGTTTCGCTTCAGCGACACGATGGGAAAATAATTCTAAGGTATTCAAGGAAGGCTATTTTCTCTGCAGCTGAGAAAATTAGAAAACGAATTTTCAATGAGAAGCGACTTGTGGCCTCTCAGACTGGGCTCATAAGTCGGCACACATGGGAGCGGTACAGGTCAAGGTTGCAGCTTTCTTGGTCTTACTGGGACAGCATATGTCGAGAAGAGACGTCGAGCTTTTAAAAACGTAAGGTCCATTAGAAGGTTAACCCGCGCCCGGCTGGGGGTCCTGGATTTCCACGCCCTGCTGGGGGGGGGGGGGTGTTTGAACACCCCCTTCTAACTCGGCTCCTGGGCCACGTAGCGATACGCGGAAGGCGGCGTTCGAAAGAGCGTAAAAAATAATGAGGAAATTACTTTGGTCAATTTTTTGCTCAGGTCAAAGGTCAGGTAACCAGAGGTCATTGAAGGCAAAATTTCGCCGATTTCCAGGTCGAATGTCGACAATTTCCAAGAAGCCAACGCATAACTCGGGAACCAAAAGAGCTACAGCGCCGCGGAAAAGCGCATTCGATAGCCCTATTAACGCCCTTTCTGAGTATTTCTCTCAGATTTGACCTAACGTCAACGGTTTTGCCTGCAGGGGGCAAAAACTGCAAAAATAGCCGATTTTTTTTTCGGAAACAGTTTTTCTGCAATAACTTTTGACCCAAGCCTTGTACGAGCTTACTTTTACCGGCATCGTGTTCCTCTCGTCAAGACGCATCGAATGAACTATAACTTGACCTTGAAAGGTCAACTTGAAAATTTGACCTCAGGTCAAGGTCATGACCTGACCGGAAAGGGTCATGTTGCATATCAGTCGATCCGTATCGTCGAGCTGAACACATCTAAGGCGTTTTCATCGCTCTAGCATGCCTCTATCAAAAGTTATTTGCGAAAAACTGTTAGATACCATTCGTGACCTAAGATGACCTCAGGGCATAAACAGGGGTCACGGACACCATCTTCATGTTCAGTGTGTCTAAACCACTTGTAATTCAGTGTTTGGGAGTGTTTATAATGTCTTTCGTCCAAAAGAAGCGCATTTCAATATTCTCCCATTGACTTATAATGGGGAGATCGCAAAATTGACCTGACCTTAGGTCATCGATATCAAAATTCTGAGATATACATTTTGTACATGCTATTGCTCTTAGCAATCGCTGAAAGTTTCAAAGCAATCGGTCACTCGGTGTAGCTATGACAGACATTGAAACTTTTTTATGAGGTGAGGTCACTTCAAGTGACCTGGTGACCTGACCTTGAATGACCTTGGTCTGAAATTTTCACAACATGTGTAGAATTGATGTATGATAAGGTGTACCAAAAACGGCGGCGCTCCGCGCCGCTGTTTTTGAGATATTCGCGAAAAACCACAGGGGGGGGGGGGTGTTCAAACACCCCCCCCCAGCAGGGCGCGGGTTAATTAAACGATGACTTTAACTTTCGTTGATAAGTCGTAGTATCTCGTAGATGTAATCCAAGTTGAAACTGAAACTTCTCAGATCGCCCGAGCAAAACTAAGATTTTCTTACAAACTAGGCATACGTTTTCTGTTATATTTCTATGTAGGTTTCTCACTTTAAGCACGTGTGGTCGACGGAAACCACAAGACTGCTTCCTGTCAGATCATGCACCACATCAATTCTTTCAACTCGCTATTTTAGCAGTAACTGCCCGCATCATCGAAAACGGCACTTTTTCCTCCATGCCATAGCCACGTGTAAGTGCATCTGACACATCATTTCCAAGCTCCGACATCTGTTGTTCCCACCGCCGCCGCCGCCGCCGCCGCCGCCGCCGCCCGGTCTAAGCTGGCTAACGTGATTTGCGATAAAGCGCTGATAGCAGCCCGCGACCCCTGCTATGTTTGGCGGCACAACCGCAAACTCTAGCGATCGCTCCAGACATCGGCTCAGTCGTGAGAGCTGGCAATAGGGCGGCGGTCAAGATCGGGTTTGGTGTTATTACGTACAACTTACTAAGTAAACGCCCGCTTCTATAAACCTAAAAGAGACTTTTTACTGCAGAGTACGCAGACTAGGCTATCGTTCGTTGAAGGAAATTATGTTGTGGTTGAGGAGTACTTTATAAACCAGGGCTGCGGAGTCGGAGTCGGAGTCGGAGTCGGAGTCGGTCGGAGTCGACAGTTGTGACCGGAGTCGGAGTCGGAGTCGGAGTCGATTTTAGAAACCCGAGCCGGAGTCGGAGTCGGAGTCACCGAAAATCTGTCAACTCCGCAGCCCTGCTAGGTCTGCGGAGTCGGAGTCGGGAGTTGGAGTCGGTCGGAGTCGACAATTCTGCCCGGAGTCGGAGTCGGAGTCGGAGCTGGTTTTTGAAAGCCGGAGTCAGAGTCGGAGTCGGAGTCGCCGAAAATCCATCGACTCCGCAGCCCTGTTATAAACTATAAATATATGAACAAACGCAATATATGAACGTAACTTTAACGTAACTTTAACGTTAACTTAAACGTAATTCGTAAATAAAGTATCCTTAGATTTACCCTGGGGTCATTGCATCCTACAATATTTACGTGTCACTTCTCATAACCAAAGATCCTTCAGTATTCTCCGTACCATATCTCCGCTACGGGCAAGAAGAGAAATCATCTAAGCTCTCGGCCTTGTCAGTGGATGATATCATTTGATGTATAGGAGGCATCTCCGACTTTCTTTTCCCACGACGGGCGTGGTGCCGCCGAGACTGGGATGCCGTCCCGCACGGCGTGGACGGCGGTGCGGGGGGGGGGGGGGAGGGAGGGGGGACCGCGGGCGGAGGGGCGGGTCAGGGGAGGGTCGTGTTGCGTGTGGCACCGATCGTTGTCCCGCTGACAGAAATGGGCGGCGAATGACGACCGCGAACAATCCAATCCCGTAAACATCCGCAGCCTCCCGCGGCGGCCAGGCTGCAGTTCCAGGAAAGCAGCCAGGCTTCATTCACGTGTGGATGCTGGAATCGGTTGCATTTGTGCCGTTTCGCAGGGATGTCTAGGCTTCTAACACGTTGTGTCAGATACAGAAAAAATGTGATTAACCTGAAATACTCCAAAGGTGCAATCGCGACTTCGTGGGACACTCGGCCATGGAAAAATATCTTATATGAAGGGACAGAACGTGCTGTGGCAGTCTGTGCGCAGTGGCGCAGCCAGGATTTGGTTTCGGGGGGGTCATCGCCTCCAAAGCGGGCCCCCTAGTGTGCGGGCCCCCACCCATTTTTCAGAATCTTTCCATATTGCATACGCATGCTGCTGAGCGGGCCCCCTTTACCTACACGATAACCCTGAGCGAGTTTGAATCGGAAAATTTTGATAGAACAATAGCTCGGTAATCACCCGGTGTTCAATTTCTACGCGAATTGACCATGACAGAAATATGTTACTATGAGGTACGAATTCGCATCTTTCGAGACCGAAATGTGCCCCTTCCGCAATCTCCGAAGGTTGGGACTTTTCAATTAAGAACAATCACTATTCTTTAGAATTGTGATTTTCTATTGAAAATCCCAACCTGAGCTACCTCTCTAGGGAGGTGTTTAGCGTTTCTGCCGCGATTTTGGTCATTTTGAGTCCCGCAAAAACGGCTCCATTAATTTTCTTGCCATTTTCAGCGTTTGGTCCCGTATTGGGGAGCTACCTTGTGGCAAAGTTACAAAAAATATAATTGACACGTTTTGGGGTAATCGGCATGTGCATTTTCCCATAGGGTTAACATGGGGAAAATTGGAAATTCGATTTGCGAAAAATTTTGTCAATTATATTTGTTGATATTTTTAGGGTCGAATCTGGGGCCGGGACCCCACCTCATGGTGGTAATTATTTAAAATATAAATGACAAAATTTTATGCATTGCATAGCATATACGCTAACAGAGCTGTTGCCTGCTTCTATCGGACAATATTTAAGTAGTCCCATGTGCCTGTCCAAAGTCATCTATTGGCTGCTGTAGTAGATTGTGTCGACAGAAATATGTTACTACCAGTAAAACGCCTTTTGGGCGAAGAACGAGCGAGCGAGATAGTGAGCCCTGCACGTGCGGAAGGGCGAGAGGGTACTTCCAACAGGCTTGTGCAAAGCACCCTTCTAACCGGTCGCTAGCGGTGTGCCAAATTTGAACGCGATCGGCCCAGCCGTTCCTGAGATCTGGAAGCGGCATTCTGCACGTGCGCACGTGCGAACGGGGTCCAAACTGACTTTTGCACGGCACCCTACTAACCGGTCCCCAACCGTGTAACAAATTTGAGCACAATCGGCCCAACCGTTCTCGAGATCTGGAGCTGCACGTGCGCACGTGCAGTAGCACCCTAACCGCAACACATGGAATCGCATTGCCTGTTGGGTGCCTACCTGTATGCCAAGTTTCAGCGAAATCGCCCCAGTAATTACCGAGTTATTGAAATGGGAACAAATTTGGCACCTCTTCTTTTTGTATTTTGCACGTGCAGTGGGGGTCACTCACATAGATCAACAGTACCCGACCTTTGGTAGAAGGGATGCAGCTACCCTACAAAAATTACCGCGAGACAATCGCCCAAGCGGCCCCGTTCTCCCGGGGCCCCGGACCCATCCACGGGAAGCCCGGGCCCTATCCACAAAGGGGGGCCCGGGCCCGTTCTCCCAGGGGCCCGGGCCAGTTCTCCCGGGGGCCCGGGCCCGTTCTCCCGGGGGCCGGGGCCCCATCCATCCGAGGATCCGGGCCCCGTCCACCCGGGGCCCGTTCTCCAGGGGGCCCGGACCCATCCACGGAGCCCGGGCCCCATCCACCCAGGGGGTCCGGGCCCGTTCTCCCAGGGGCCCGAGCCAGTTCTCCCGGGGGCCCGGGCCCCATCCAACGGGGGTCCGGGCCTCGTTCATCCGGGGCCCGTTCTCCAGGGGGCCCGGACCCATCCACGGAGCCCGGGTCCCATCCACCCAGGAGGTCCGGGCCCGTTCTCCCAGGGGCCCGAGCCAGTTCTCCCGGGGGCCCGGGCCCCATCCAACGGGGGGTCCGGGCCTCGTCCATCCGGGGCCCGTTCTCCCGGGGCTCCGGACCCATCCACGGGGAGCCCGGGCCCCATCCACACAGGGGCCCGGGCCCGTTCTCCGGGAGGCCCGGGCCCGTTCTCCCGGGAGCCGGGGCCCCATCCAACCGGGGGTCCGGGCCCCGTCCACCCGGGGCCCGGGGCCCGTTCTCCCGCGGGCCCGGACCCATCCACGGGGGCCCGGGCCCCATCCACCCAGGGGGTCCGGGCCCGTTCTCCCAGGGGCCCGGGCCCCATCCAACCGGGGGTCCGGGCCCCGTCCACCCGAGGCCCGGGGCCCGTTCTCCCGGGGGCCCGGACCCATCCACGGGGGGCCCGGGCCCCATCCACCCAGGGGGCCCGGGCCAGTTTTCTCGTCCGGTTAGATTAGATTAGGACCTCTCTCCTCCCTCCCTCCCTCTCTCTCTCTCTCTCTCTCTCTCTCTTTCTCTCTCTCTCTCTCTCTCTCTCTCTCTCTCTCTCTCTCTCTCTCTCTCTCTCTCTCTCTCTCTCTCTCTCTCTCTCTCTCTCTCTCTCGAGCGGGCCCCGGACAGAAATTTCGGGGGGGTCAGCTGACCCTCTGACCCCCCCCTGGCTGCGCCACTGTCTGTGCGACTGCTGTGGGAAAAGGCCTTCAACCTCCCAATGTATGTAATCACAGCGGGAGCAGTATCCCCCCATCTCTCTGCAGTGGCGTATATCCAATCTGGCTGCGTCGGCGGCCCGCCCCAATAACTCGGCCCGGCTCGCCCCGCGCGACAGGCGCGCCGCTGCCACATTGACACATGAACGGCCAATATATGACAGCGCTGTCACGGGTCGACAGTCATGGCCGGATGGCCTGTCATGCAAGGTCGTCGTTTACCGTCACACGGCTGGGGGAGCGTCACGCGAGCGGCCGACACGGGCGCCGCCGGGCGGCGAATAAAATTCTGACCGGGTGCGGGGGAGCTGCGTGGGGACCTGAGTGGGAGACCCCAATCCAATCCCCTGCTATATGTTGGAAATGATTTTGAATTCGGCCGTCAATGTCAAAACTATGGCTAAAAGTACCGGCGGCCATAAGAGCAGCGACCAATTGATGCCATCTCTTATCTAAGAGTTAAGACCGATACTTTACATGAGCTACAAAAATAAAGTTAAACTTATTTGAAGCAGCCAGGCTACGAAAAGACAAACACACCCATTGACATGCATCTATTCGGAGCTGTACTATGTCCCCGCACACGTCCTCGTGCGTGCAGTCGTGTATTGCACGCGGCATACTCACGTTCTTGGTGCGCGCTGGCCACGTACGCCAGGTCGTCGTGGTGCACCATAGCGTAGCCGCTGCGGTTCACCAGCTCACTGTCCGAGTAGCCCAGCAGCATCTTCCCCCTGTGGATGGTGATAGGGCTGGTTAGAGCGGGAACCGATACCTTATGTAAACGCTACGTAGGGCGATTTTGTGATCTGTGGGTCGGACTGTAAGGTGAATAATAAACCAAGATGGGTAGCGGTAGACTATAAGTCTACATATTCGTATTTGACAAGCCGTTTTAAATTACAAATGCACATGCGTCTACAAAAGCAAATGCAAGTAATGTAGCGATTTTGTCCTGGAAGCAAAGCAATTTCCGATGCCTGTACTTTGCCCAGAACACGTCATACGTATCGCAATTTACGGCGTAGACAAAACAGAAGAACCTCAGTAGAGGATCTGCGACTAGTGTGGAACTTAGCTGGCAACGGGTGAAAGCCGCCTCTATTCAAGGTAAACCCAGGATTCAGTTTATGTCTTCGGGTTACGCAATCCTCATCCATATTCCAATCTGACTCTTATCTACCCTTCAATTACACCAAACCTTATACGTTGCCGCACGTTTTTCCTCGGAGGAAAGTTCGACTCCCGATATCGAAAGCCGTCTTTGAGCCTCACCGCAGACGAGGACGTCGTCTAGGACTTATAATGCAGAGTCTGTTCTACTCCCACACAGGGACCGCAGCTATACGATTAGTTTCTGCAGTCGGCAGCAATGAGTAATCTGCCGTGATCGCTGACAATGAACAGACACAGCACGTGTGTCTCGGCAAGAGACGGCACGGAACCTATTCCGTGTGTGTGACAATGTGAATCAGCGCTGGTGCTCGTAAAAATGACGCGTCAACCTTGTTATGCAATGGCGACAGTAGGGATCAATATAGTACGCATGTTTTGTATTTGTACTTTTGTTTCCATGTAGATTGAGTTTGGAAACAGCTCCTGGCGTAGTAGGGCTGGTTCGTCGTGCTATGAAAGCTGACGCATCATTTTTCAGATAGAAGTTTTGCATATCCACTAGGTACCTGTATGTACAAGTAAAATTGAATGCTTCACTTGTTATCAATTTAAGACAGAGTCAAAATTAATTTCAAAACGGCCGATTTTATCTCACAGCTATGCCAAAACAGGAGCGGATGCGGATGACTCATGGTCAGCATCAATGTCTTCAAGAAATGCCGCATCAAGACGGCGTCTCCGTGTTAATCCGACAGAACCGGTCGACCGTGCCCCTGACTTTGACTCATGGTGCAGAGTGGCAAGGTGACTGCTGTGAGTGTCCCGCCGAGTGCCAAGTGCCCCACTGAGTGCCGGCAGCCCGTCTGACCGGCGGTCACTGCCAGGAGGTCGCGGCGCCCCCGGAGAAAGTTGGCCGCAGACCGCCACCGCGAGCCGCGGACAGTGTGAACGGACTGAGCCGGGACGGGGACAGTGTGAACGGACTCAGCCGGGACGGGACACAGTGTGAACGGACTGAGCCGGGACCGGGGACAGTGTGAACGGACTGAGCCGGGACCGGGGACAGTGTGAACGGACTGAGCCGGGACCGGGGACAGTGTGAACGGACTGAGCCGGGACCGGGGACAGTGTGAACGGACTGAGCCGGGACCGGGGACAGTGTGAACGGACTGAGCCGGGACCGGGGACAGTGTGAACGGACTGAGCCGGGACCGGGGACAGTGTGAACGGACTGAGCCGGGACCGGGGACAGTGTGAACGGACTGAGCCGGGGACGGGACACGGGGACGGCGACACTGCGGAGGTAACCAGAGACGGGGAGCTGTGTCCTCTCGTGTGGGCAAGACTCTCCTCACGAGATTGACCTCATGCAGGATCGCAGCGGATGGTGTATGTGTGGCTCAGTGCTCCATGCTGCCACTCACAAGAACTCGACCTATCATCTAACGCAAGCTGACAAACTTTTAATTGTTCCCCTCTTTACCCAATACGCATACCGCTCTTCTACGAACGTCGCAGAGATACATATCTGGTGCCTCCCGGGGGAGGATGTTGGCGCTGCCGCACTCACCTCTGATCGATGGAGAGCATGGTGAGATCCAGCTTGTGCTTCGACTTGAACATGAGCTCCTTCTGCGGCATGTCGAGCAGCGAGGGCGGCCCGAACGGGGTGCAGAGCGCGAACAGCGCCAGCACGGGCTCCTCCGACTTCCGGTGCTGGCCCTGCAGCACCCGGATCCGGCCGCGGATGTCCAGCCGCTGCCAAATGAAGGAAGCACGTCAGAATAGGGGACGGGATGAAGGGAAAGCTTCAGAGGAGGAATAAGAGAACGAACGGTGGAAGAGGATGAAAATAAAGGAAAGCTGAATAGAAGGAGGATGAAGGATTTTGTGACTCGGTAAAATATGGGATATTGCTACTTGTTTGGTTCATGCATTGGAGTCGACTTCACTGGCCAATGGCTCTTTTGAAAAGACCCTCCCAAAATAAAGTATCATGATAAGCGACAAAGAGAGGCGACATTAACCCGCGCCCCACTGGGGTCTGCGTATAACACGCCCTACTGGGGGGGGGGGCTATTCATAGCCCCCCTCCTAACTCCGAAACTACTGGGCCGATCGTCAAATTTCAAACGGCGTCTGATAGCCCCGGAAAAACTGTCGAGCGAAACCTAATTTCATTGACCTCGAGGTCACCGATGACGTCACAGGTCAGGTCAAAGTAAAAATTACTAGCATTTTGGCTTGTTCACGTTTTGGGCTCTGGCCGCCGTCTTACAAGTCAGATCAGGCTCATTTTTGGCTCACACACTCGTGAACAGATGCTCTAGATACCCTGGGGGTACCAAACTTGTACTTTGATTTTCAGGTCAAGGTCAGGTCATCACAAGTCACGAAAATATTATATCATGCATCGGTCACGTGACACATGTTTTATGGTCCATTTAGGCCAAAGATTTCGAATTTGATGTCGTCTGTGTCATTGGAGGTCATTTTGAGTCGAATTTAGCCTAGGTCAGGTCACTTTCAGGTCAAAAAAGGTCAAATTTTGAAGTTATAATTTTTCAACAGAAAAGGTGTCTATTGGATGCAGTTTGAGCTCAGGAACACGATGGTGCTATTTATATTGGGCGTACGATGTCAAATACGTGGTGAAAAATTGATTTGAAAATTAAGAATTGTGATTTTTTGCAATAGTGCGTATAACTTGGCCATTTTTGAAGATATTTAGCTAAAACTTGCTAGAGTTAGTCATAATAACGCGTTCTATCACATATATTCCGGTTTTTTCGAAAAGTCAAAAACTTTTTGAAAAAAATGAAAAAATGTAAATTTTGAATTTTATCATATCAAATTTTCGAAATTTTCAAAATTTCGAAAATCCGAGATAGCAGTTTGATAGCACAGTCTATTCTGAGTCCTCTCATGCAAAGAAATTGGATCTAGCTTAAAAACTGAGCCCTTGGGAGCGATTGCCGTGGTTCGATGTTTTGCGTCGAAATCGGCCGAACATGACGTCACTCTGACGTCATTTCCGGCTGACCTATGGTAGCTACGAGGTTCAAATTTTGACACAAGGTGTCAAATTGATGCAGCCGAAGGTACTGAAAGTTTGGCGTCGATACGTCAAGCGTTTTGGAAGTTATGGCAGAAAAACGGGAGGGGGGCTATAAATAGCCCCCCCCCCAGTGGGGCGCGGGTTAACAGAACTGTGAATGTCAAGAAATCCACACGAATGCCTTTCAACTTCTTTGTACATTTGAAGACTTGTTTTTCCATCAACTGATAATTTAAGGTTCCTGCTATCTGGCGAATAGTACGATAAAACTGACATTATCTTTATCACCACTACGCTGCTTTGTTTTTGGTGACGCTCAGTTTTCAGTCTGACACAGGCGCATCGTTATGACGCTTGGTTGCACAGACAAAGCGGCCGCTATGCCCCGTCCCAAAACAGGGTCATTTGTTGTGAGCTGTTACCGCACAATGGGCCCTCAGTGTGTGTCACTATCACGACACATCGGACACGCGCTGTGCGTGGTGCGACTCCCCCTACGTCCGGATGAGCCCCCCCCCCGGAACACACACAAACACAATCGACGGCCCAAAATTGAATCACCGGCCGCCGTCACATCATTAGTTACAAACGCTCCGTACCTACATACGTTTTAATGTCTTTTGATGTGTGCGTAATGTTCGGCTTTGTCGCAACATCAAACGAACCGTAACATTGGCCATTTGCACACTCACACTGGCTGCCCTATTATGGATTATCGTCGCTTTGAAGCAAATAAGGACCGACTGGTGATACAGACGGAACTGTGGTACACAAGATTGAAGTAGAAGGCGGACGGTTCCGGTCGAATAGATATCGCCACATTTGTGAACACACTGGATCTCCGTCGTTTTGCCGGGTTATGTCTATCATGTAGAGGTACTCGGCGTCTGTCGCCTCCATGGTGTGGGGCCGCCGCTGGCCGGCGTCGTACGCCGCGCGGCTGGGAAGCTCTCAACCCGCGGAGCTAGGAGGTAATAAGCCCCCCCCCCCCCTCCCGGCCAGGGGCGTGAGTGAGTCTGTTCCAGGAACACCTCAAGGCGAGCCCGGCAGCCGCGCCGACCCAGCCGTCGAGTTGAAGGTTATTGAGCTGCGGCTGAAAGCTGCAGAGCTGCCGGTCTGCCGCCGGAGCTGCAGCTCAGCTCAGCTCCTAGCACACACCGCCGACCGGACCGCCGCGACGAGCGACGAAGGTGTGTGTCTCACTGTCTATAGCATGTGCGCCACATATTGGGAATGTGTTTCAGGAGCTGTCGGCGGTATTTTGGGCGTGGTGCTGCTGTGAGAAGCACGTGATGGATTCTTGTGAACAGCGACCGAGAGCGCAGCGGTGACAAATGCACTCCTTTCACAGACAAATTGTGTCGATTTGTGCAGCGTGCACGAGTGCATTACGCTCACGCCCTGCGTGGCTAATTATGAACGGTGAACGAAGCACCCAACACTGCTGACGAGTGTTTGCCAAATGCCGTGCAATCGCTCGCAATATCCGTCGCAATCATTTGCATTGTTCGCACAGCTGTGCCATCAGTGCCACAACATGCTGGGCTTGAGTTGATCAAAAGCACGGGGCGGAGTTAATTTCATTCATTCCGTGCCGAACTGTCGGTCGTGTTCATTTCAATAGGTAGGTACCGGCGTCAGGTCCCGAATGGGCGCTCCGAAACACGCAAATCCGGCATAACGGTGGAACATAGAGTTAGGCTTACTGTGTGCTATGCCATTGGTTACCGAATCAACGCGAATATAGTGGCTGGAATCAGCGCCTCGACGATATGTCTAATGACGGCAGGCGAGCGCAGTAAATTGTGGCCTCAGACAAACTATTTGCACACACGAAACTCGAGCCATATAAACCGCACAGTATACGCCCACTCTGGCACTAACACCATGCATAATGCCAATTTTAAGTACAAATACAGCTTTTTAAGTCCTACCCTTCAAACACCTCAGTATATGTGTTTCACCTAAACTTCACCCATTCAGGCAGGCCCTTACACACGGCTTACTCCATAAAACACGGCTTACTCCATAAAAACTATTGGAAATATTCCGCAAGGCAAGAACATGGATTTACAGATATCCTGTGCTTAAAACGCCTCCGGCAGAATTAGTCCGCTCTAATCTGAGCTCCAATCAAACATCTCCTTTGTCTTCCGCTGGCGAATCAGGGCGACAATGAGCGCTGTCTGCACTGACGTCCGAACAGCACCCCGCGGCGGCGGCCGTCTGTCGCCATGAGCGATCACCGCGCGCGGCAAACGCGGCGCTTCCTGACGCAGCGCGGCGGGCGGCGCGGGCGTCTCTGACAAATGCAGATGGATCGCAGCCGCCAGTGACGCAATTAGAGTATTATGACGTAATTGGTGCGTGCAGGGCGGGGCGGGTGACCGGCGCGGGCCCGCCCGGGGGCAGCGAGCACCGAAACTGCGAGAGGTCGCGGTCCGGGGGGACCGGACGGACCAGAAGGACCAGACGGACCGGCTGGTCCGGTCCGACACACCGCCGGCACCTGCAGAACTAGACCAGGCACCTCTGAATGAAGTCGTCACACCGCCCGCTCCAGCCCGACGACCTTTGCGGAGCTCCTGAGCCAAATCGACACCGCAACGGCGCAAACGAAAGTAAAAATGAATCTAGATAGCGATTCTAAAAGCGGAGCTTAGAAAGACCTGCTCTGTGCCACTAAAATAAAGTCTTTCTTGACGGCTAACGTGCATACATAATTCAACATGTCTATCAGCATTATCTACTTCTGGCACGGACTTATCCTCCGCTGTAGCGAAACAAAGAATACCTCAAATGCCTCCTTCCAAACACGGGTGCAGCGGCTCTGTCTGAGCAGCGCCTCAGGATTCTTCCCGATGACGTCACAAACACCCTCGCTGACGTCACAAACACCCCGCTCTGACAGCTCCAAGGTCCCCACAGGCCGCCGGAGCTTTTGAGGAAAACAGCTCGCCAGCCGCCCCGGCTCCGTCCCGCCCGCCCCGCGCCGGCCGTAAAGGCTCGACCGTGATGAGACCGGCAATATCGCTGATGAGTTTCGGTCTGCTGAGTGACTGAACTCGGAGTGGAGACGGCATAACTCGGGGCGATTAGCAGCGTGAGCGGAGATTGGCAGGTGCTCGTCGGACCAAGGTGCTTCATAGGGCGGGTGACGTCATTGATGACGTTACAGCTGTTGTAGCTATTTTATAAGTTGCACTGTGGCTAATTTTTGTCAGCGCTACAGAAGACTGCAGTCCCGAAGCTTTCACATTACTACAATGCGCAGTTGTGGCATGCTCACTCTCTAGGAAATAACACTAAGAAATTTACCTACCGCTAGATATTTTACTATCCATGACAAATCCGGGATATCCATGTTACACAACTCTGTCCTCATTCCTCGTATCGACAAAGTAATGCAGCAGCTCAAATTCCCATCACCTACGCCACCAGGCCTCTTTGGAATTCCGAATTCCCCTGCACGAGTCACCATATCGCGTCGGCGGCAAATCCACGACGCCAGTAATGTCACAGTCTGTCGCTGGATCTGACATCCTCCAAATGGGCGAGCGAGCCGCGGCCCCTGTCTCCGCTCACTGTCAGTTCTGACTGCACCCGACAGTTCTGACTGGCCCGACAGTTCTGACTGTGGGCTCGACTGGCCGACAGTGACAGGATATGAGGATCTGCACTGTCGGGATGGGACGTCGACTTCAAAGCGGGCTCGGGGCAGGACCAAATGGGGTCGTGCCCGGCTGATTTAGATGGCACCCTTCCCGACCGCCGCTGGCCGGACGGAGGATGAGGGCTTAATGGCGTGTCCTTTTGCAATAAATGGAGGATATGAGAAATGTGACGGGAGAACTTGAAAACACTGCTGAGTGCCAATCCATGCATGAATCCATGCTTGAGCTTTCTAAAGCGTTTTTTTCTCTAGGTATTGTTTTGACTCGGCTATTTAATATTAATCTTTAATGCTGGGAAGCCTGAGTAACAATTTTGCATAAGCAGGCCGTGCTCCTTCTTGTGTGTGCTTATCTGTTACCACATTCTACAGCATTTTGTCTCCAGAAAAAAACAAAAGCTAAGGGAGCCAGCATTTCTAAAACAGCCTCCCACTCGTTCTGCCCCTCCCCCTCTATCCCATCCCCCTCCGTCCCGTCCCGTCCGGTCCCCGTCCCGTCCCGATGTCGGAGATACGCCGGAACACGTCAATGGACCACCATCGGTCGGCCCCACAGTGACGCTAATGAAGCGCGCAGCGTCGACTCGGCCCGCGTCGCGGTGTCAAAACGACGGGCGCCGGGCGCGCGATGCGGCCAGATAGTGTGTGTAGTGACTTCCGGCGGCTGGCGGTGAGCGGTGGGCGGAGGGAGGAAGGTGGAGGGCCATGGATGGTCGACGGTAGACGCTGGACGAGGCTCAGCTCAGTTGGTCAGCTCAGTTCAGCTCAGCTCAGCTCAGTTCAGTTAGTGACAGGGCATGTGATCACGTGGAGTAACAGGACAGGTGGAAACATCGAAAAATTTAGGCACTCGGTTTTACGTAAACATTGCAGCTCCACCCACTATATGGCAGGGATAAGCAATGGAGCACTGGAAAGACTCCCTCGGGGCCCATGGCACAGGGAAGTAGGGTCGAAAGATGATCAGCAGGCTGGTGAGACACATCAGTGAGACGGGTGAGGAACATCAGTGAGACAGGTGAGAGGCACAGCAGTGAGACAGGTGAGACACTGTGAGACGGCGCGGAGATAGCTGAGGCAGGTGACAGCCGCCTGTCCGGCGGTGTTCCGACACCGATTCCCGTTCAGATGGACCGCGATATCCATCGACTGGACACGGAGCGGGAATCGGGCGACCGGAAACACCGCCACAAACAACGCCCCGGTTCTGAATGAATGAAATGTCCCGGGTTGTGTATGAATGGACGCCCAGTAGCACACACTGTCCAAGCTGACTGGACTTTCTCATTCTTTCGCTGTAATTATGTCAAAATTTGTGATCTGAATAATAATTTTTAAAACGAGAAAAATAATATATTCAATTGAAAACTTGGTTCAATTTAGGTCCATCTAAAGTTATATTTTTAAAAAATAAAAACGTGACATACTTTTCATTACTAGATTGCTTACCTTAATTTCAAAATTCGAATATATAATTCAAAAATAAGCACGAGCTCACATCAGTGTGAATCGAGGCACCCTTGCCCTAAGATCGCCGCTCCCGTCTGCGGACCCACCGACCCCTATCGTCGCCCCGCGTCCTCACCAGGAATCCGGAGGTGTTGTCGAGCAGGCAGCGGAAGCGGACGGTGAAGCTCCTCTCCAGCAGGTGCGCGTTCTCGGGCTGCAGCGCCTCCTGCACGGTCATGTTGGCCCGCTCCGGCGGTAGGAAGCCGTTCCACAGGAACTGGCGCTGCAGCTCGTCACGGTCCTCCGAGTGCACCAGCTCGTACACCGACTGGTGCACGATGTCAGACTGCGGGCAGAGGCGGGGGCATAGTCAGATAGTGCACCAGCTCGTACACCGACTGGTGCACGATGTCAGACTGGGGGCAGAGGTGGGTCAGAGGTCAGATCTCAGATGTGAAGTCAGAAGTCAGATCTCAGGGGTCAAACCTCAAAGGTCAGATCTAGCAGAGCTCAGCTCTCAGGAGTTAGACCTCAGGGGTCAGAGGACATTGGCCAGACCTCAGGGTCTGATCTGATATCTGATCAGGGATCAGATATCAGGGGCCAGATATCAGGGTCAGACCTCAGGGGTTAGACGTCAGGGGTGAGACCTCAGAGATCTGGGATCCAAATCTCATAGGCTGGGGTCAAGCGTCAGATCTCAGAGGCCCGGTGACGGGGGTCAGGCATATGAGGCCAGTCAAGGCGCAGGGGTTCTTCGAACATCATATTTTTCAAGTCATTTTATTGTGTTGTTCGATACATAAGTTGTCCACAATTTCTCTATCACAGTCATCAACCAATAATGTGATTCACTTTGCAAAATAGAAAACTTGCGCGATGAGGGTGATGTGTGAGACGTGACCAGACTGACCGGACCGCCCCACCAGGCTCCTCCATCACAGACGTGTTCCTGACTGGCCCTCGTCGTCAGTCAAGGCTATGTTTATGTGGCTGCGCTAAGCTGTCCGGTTAAACCAGTGGGCTGACCCGGTGACGGCCTTCGCTTCCAGCATAACACCCGCGCGGATTAACCACAGCGGATACCCGCGATTACAATCGGCTCCCTGCGCCACCGAAATAGCCGAACGGAATCAACGAGATGATTGAACAGTTTCACACCGAGGGAGTCTGTCTACCTGCATTTAGCCCAAGGCCCAAGCCGTTTCAAAGAACATTATTCAATGCATCTACCTACACCAATCAAGTCCTATCAGAAGCAAACCAACATCAGAAGTTTTCGGAAATCTGGGATCCCAGACATCTGGTGCCGAAATTGGCGTCTGTTCGTCTACAGGGCCAATATCCTGCAGAGGTTTTACCTTCACCCTTGGATCAGCCGTCATCTACAAGACGGCGCACAGGAATGCGCTGTTTTGATTACCGATTGATTTCGCCTGTCTTTCCAATCAGAGGTGCCTCGAGCCGTCAGCATCGCGCAGCGGGCGGTTAGGCGGCGCTGTTACATCGTTCCGCGCACAGCAGAACGCCGCTCTGACGCGACTGACACCCCTGTCAGTCGGAGCGCCGCCAAACATTGCAAACAATGCGAATTGCCCTCCCGGAGTGCAGAATATGCACCGGCAGAGTGAGATGGACTGGGAGAGACATCTGACGGCGGCAGTGGGAAACAGCGGGACACACCTGGGCGTGGTTGGGCCGCAGTGTGAAGACGGAGGGACCTGGCCCTGGGAGACTAACGCCAAGCGACGGAGGCCCGCGACTGCGTCCGATCCCACTTGATCCCAGTCCCGATCAGCCGGCCCGGAAACGCGGCCCAAATCAGATCCCGCCTCCATGAATACTACGGTTAATAAATTACCCGTTCACCGCTACGGTCCGACCGGGTAACGATCGAGGCGCACGCACCGGGGCCCGGTCCGACGCACAGCTCGCTCGGCCGGTGAGATATACGGCCACGGGCCGCCAGAAAAAGCCAAATTGAAACCGGAGCGGCGCCCCGCTGCGCCGGTTTGGCCGCAGCGCGGCGAGAGTGGCGCACCGGGAGCACAACAAGCCGGCCACAGACGCGAGTGGCCACAGGTGATGGCTTCATCCCGGGCCGCCTGACCAGTGACTGCTTTATGACTCGTATGTACTGCGGCGGACCATTTGTACAAGCGCTTCAGCGTGTACACTGATTTTATGGCATTTCCGTGAAGAAGGAGCATGTAGGCAGGTTTACTCCTATGCTCGATATCGCTTATTAGAGAGTTTTATCCAGCCTGCCGCTTATCTTTTATTTATTCATTTTTATTGTAACATGCACGCATGCACGTCATGCACGCACCAAAAAATGTTTGAAGATAGGTATATTTTATATTAGGTACAAAAATGCTTCCTAATTGACAGCTTATTTGAACGGAAAAAGGCCATGGATGTCTGGCAAAAGTGAACAGCTAGATGTGCCTTTAAAGAGCTATCAACAGCCGTGCGCCCGCGGGTGTCCGCCCAATTTTTCGTCTGAGCTGCGGCGACTGGGCGTCCCGCAGCGTCTGATGAGGACGCTGACGCGCCGCCGGTCCCCTCTCGCCCCGCTGGACGCGACACCTCCCCGGTCGACCGCTTACACGCGCCATCGGCTCCGATCGGGCTCAAATCGGCGCGGCGCCCGCCCCAATACGCCGCCTTTCACGGCTAATTCGGACACGGTACCCTGTCGCGCGCCCGGCAGAGTTAGTTCGCCGACCTGCCGCCGCAGGGACTGTATCGCTAGCGTCGCTGACAAATGTCTGCGGCACGGCTACAAAAGGCGCCCCAAGTGGCCGCAAATGGTGGTAATTACGTCACAAACTGGCGGCGTCACTGCTGCTGGGTGGCGGCCGCCGGGTCGGAGGGCTGCAGTGGGGCAGGGGAAGAAGACGGGCTGCTGGGGAGGGTCCGTCTCACCCCTGTGATTTCTTGGGACACCTCGGGTTCCACAGGGCTACCTAGGGACTCACTGGGTGCGGGTGATAGACGTAAGACTATCGGAGTCAGTTCAGCTCGAAAAATAGGCTGTTTGTAGTCCTGTCCGCATGAAACTGCTATAAATGACATGATTGATACTCAGAGAACCAGATGCAGATAGAACCCGAAGAGAGAAGCTCAATCAGTGGCTCTCCCATTCATCCGCGCCACCTATTTCCACTCATCCTTCTCATCCTCCTCCGCCCACTCCCTCCCTCCGCATCCTCCCCAACAATAACTCTCGCGCCCGAGCTCGTGGCCGGCCGCCCCCTCACGCGCCGGGCGGAAGAAAATGAAGCCATCTCGGTCGGAGCGCGCCGCTCGCTCGGCCGGCCGGCAGCGGCGATGGATGGGGTGGGGAGGGAGCGAACAGACTCCCGGGGAGGCCTCCCGGAGCGCGGCGGCCGGCCGGCTACCGGTAAATCTATCGGCGACGGCGGGGGCCCCAGCGGGAGCCCCAGCAGGAGCCGCAGCGGAGCGGGGAGCCATGGCCGGGCCACTGGTCACAGAGGAGATACAGCACCAGCAGTCAGGAGCTATGAGCTATGACGAGGATAGCGGCATCAGGATCGGAGTCACGCCAGGAGTCATCCTCTGAGGCAGCAGATCTCCGAAAACAGGGACGGAGTCAGGCAGCTGATGTCAGGCAGCTGCCAAGTTACTTTTGTATCCAACTAATACTTTGATTTGATACCTAACGGTTTCCCAGTGTCCCCAGTTGTCTATGGGTATTGGGTCTCGTGACCAAATCGATTTATTAAATCGCGACTGACGTTAACTGTCGCAAAAACACAAACGATTAGGTGGCTCACTGCTCAGAGGCAGGAACCTTATCTTATTGAAACCGTAAGTGCAAGGAATTCATGATGAGCTCTGCCATGATAACAGCGAACACCTAACAGGACTCTTCAAAAGTCTTTCTTGAGTCACAAGTGTATCATTTGCCACCCCAGCCGAAGAGGTGAGTGACGGCAGAGCCATCACAAGTTCTCTCTCAGACTCCTCGACAAAGAGGACCAGCACGCGGGTGCCGAGGTCGCCCCTCTGGCCGCGCACCAGCTCCTCGGCTTCTGATCAGCGGCAGCGCGGGCGTGGCGCCGGCACGCAGCACTAATCAGCACCATGTTGACAGACCCTGATTCCAAAACTGATCATCCCATCAAACATTCATTCGCGCATCGATCCAGCGAGCTCATCGCCTAAAAGATGCACCGCGCACATCATAAGCCGCGCCGGCCCGGTGCCGGCCGGCAGCCCGCACGAACAGGAGCGCGCCTCCGCTGGGCGGGGCGCTCCGCCCGGCGGAAATTTAATATGGACAGAGCACTGCCGGCGCAGAGAAATCTAATACCGTCCGTCTGGGCGGCCATTGCGGTTTCGTCGTCAGCGGATTCTGTAAAAGGCGGCGGTGCGGGGTCGTTACAGGCCTCGAGCAGGCCGCTCTCCGCGATGCGGCCGGGATTCTGTCTGTTTTGAAGTCGGCTGCTCGTTTTCCTCAGTGCTATCGGTCCGGATCTGGGCAGGGAAAACTGTGCCGAGCGCTGGCCATCGCCGGGCTGCTCTTTGTTAGCCGCCGCGCAGGAGTGCTGTCATTCGGACCAGCCGGCCCACTCCGCAACGAACGAGCCCTGTGTACAATGCACTCTTCCTGCCGCCGAAACGCGGCGTGGCGTGCAGGCAATGCACGTGACATTGGTAAAAAATAATGATGTTCCTATGCGGTTAATGTCAGCGTGCTTTGCCCGGATAACATGCACTTGCCCAGTGACCGGATTTTCGCGCTGTTACCGGCCAGTCGTGCTCGCGGCACGCCCATGTTTCGATGAACTCGGGAATGTGTTGTCGCTTTAATCACGTTAAAAACAATACCCTCTTTCAGCTTCCGGCCGTAAATTTCCGTAGGCCGGTCTATTAATGACGTGTAAGCAATTAGTGCGGCTCGGGGCCGGAGTGGGCAGAGCCCGGCCGGTCTGCGCGCAGCCAGCGGCGACGGCCGCACGATTTGTGGTCCAGGGAGTGAGGCAGGGAGCCACCGTGCGCCTCCGCGCTGTTGGAGAAATATTTACGAATATGCCTACTGGGATGCGAGTCGATTGTAAGGGGCAAGGCAGCGGGCAGGCTTCACTCAATGTTTTAAACTTCTCTTTTAGTAGTTGGCTCTACCGATGCATTGGGGTAAGAGTTATGTGTCCATGCCCAAGCACTGAATCAATTCATTGCATGTCCAAGCACACCCGTAAGCATTTTGTTAAGTGAGCTTATACACGTTATCTCCAGTCATACACCATTCTTTGCCCAGTGAAATTGAGGCATCACTTGCAATGTACACCTTAGTTAGGACGTTGCACATTCCAGCGC